CAACTTAATGTTCACTGGGAAGGCAGACTACTTTAATGTTTTATTGAATGTCGGGGGAATTGTTCCCACCCAAATGGAAGACTGGGAATGATATCTGATTGAACTTCCCTTCGATAATGTGTTTCTTCTTTGAAGTATTTATCAACCGAAGTCCAAATTCTCTGCCATATTTCCGACCAAATGCTTCTAATTGGCCTGTGCATGCTCATTCAAGTCTTTCAAAAAGGCGTATGATTAAATCTATGAAAGTTTTGAAAATAAACTGTGGCGTGCGGTATCAAATTTTTTTTGTCGGGGCTCCAGTAATCAAGAGGAAAAAACATTAAAAATAGGCAATTGAAACGATTTCTTTGAAATTTCGAACGGTTATTTCAAATTGGCTGACATAACTTCCAGCCATTTTGATTTTATGCCATGGCGAGGAACTCCCTCCCGTTAACCTTTCTCGGACAGCAAAAATCACATTTTTAGAAGCTTGTTTTAAGTATTTTACCGTTTGAATGATAATAATACATTGCTAGTATGAGGGGGTAACCCAGGATGTTCTGTCTTTAAATTATTTCTTACAATTTAAAACATGTAAGCGGACAAGTGGACGCTGAGCGATCAGCAGGAGTGTTTTAATCAGGGGCGGATCTAACATTTTCTCGAGGGGGGATTTTCAAAAAAATTTCAAAACTTTGTCAACTTTTTTTTTAGGTCGACCAAATTGGCTTTCCGAGCTCTCCCAAAGCAGTAAAAAAACCCTGTTTTGGCCAAAGTTAAAAAAAATGAATCATTCAATCAATTCCATCAAATTAAGAAAAAAATCCTGTTTTGGCCAAAATTAAAAAAACTGAATAATTCAATCAAATCATGCATGATCTCTTCGTTTTTTTTGGTAAGATTACCATTTCTAACACTTGTTTCGCCTATAAATTAATAGTTTTCAATTTTTCTGCTCATGAACATTTTCTACTCTTAGATCATTCTGATTGTTGCTCCGCCTCCTCTTGCTCCGCTGACATGTTTTCATTGTTCCACCTTTCGATAAAGTGACAAAATATTTATGGGTGGTGTGTTTTTTTTTCATACAGACCAAATTTGTTTTTGTAATTAAACATTTACGACGAAAAAATTTAATTTCACCTAAAACATATAAATGCCCAAAGCAAAAAAATTATAGTGAAATTTCATGAAAGATCACTTTCCATGAAGTTTAAAGGGCTTAAATATGGGACGATTACGGTCATTTTTTGAATAAAGGATCATTATTCAAAAAGTTTCAATTTTTCGTTAGCGCTTTTTCGAATCTTGAAATTTTTTTTGCTAGCAAAAAACTCTTGTAATTTTTTTAAATAGAGCATAGTTTATTCCAAAATTCTTTAATTTTCTATATTTTTTCTGGTCAAAATTTAAATAAACTTAGGTTATTTCTTTCTAGAGAGAAAAAAGTTTTGCGGCATTCTAAACACGTATTTAAAAACTACAGAAAAGTGCCATAACCGTTACGCCACACGATCTAAAAGATTTCAGAAGCTGAAACAAAAAATCCAAAAAGTTTGTAAATTTTAAAGTACAGCCGATTGCAAATCATTTGGGTTTATCTATAAATTTTTTGGTTTTTAAAATTAGGATAAAAAATAGATGTTTTTCTATAAAAACAACGAAGAGGTTAAATTATCTAGAAATTGTTTCAACCAGTTTAAAAATTAATTGAGTTGGAGTGGTCAAAATTATTGTAGTCTGGCAAGTTAGACAAAAAAATAGACACTATTAATTGAAATCATTTAGACGAGTACGAAAAAACAATACGCAGGTTGACCTCCATAGACCAAAAATGATAATCATACAATTCCATAAACTAAATCTATGAAAAAATACTAGACATACAAATTTCATACATTTTGCTAAAACAGTGTCATCAAACTTTCAAAGACATTTTTCCTTGTTTTGAAATAAAAGTCGGTGCATCCTACTAAAAAAAAAGAAAAACTTTTGTCAAAAAGTGCTAATCATATAATTTTTATATATGGAAATTGTATGAATAGTATTTTGTTCACAACGACAACATTTTTTTCCTTGTAATTTTGAAAAGTTTTCTTTGTTTTTTTTTTCAACTGCAAATTGAAATTTGTACTCAAACAAACGTTTTCCAAAAAAAATTTTTTTGCATGCGAATATTAATTTTTTGGATAATTGTAGTCCTGTAATCCTTAATTGTAGTCCTGGATTCACAAAAATGGGATTTTTTCCGTTTCTCTGGATAAAATTTTTTTCAAAGATGCTAAAAAGTCCAATTTCCTTTGTATGGCATGTTTATGTATGCCTTGATCAATGTCTAATAATTTAAAGACTCAAATTTTGAAAAAAAACTATTTTTTGAAAACTTTGCCAAATTTTAAAAGGTTCATGCTTTCAATATATGATTAGTGAAAGAAAACTTTTTTATAACAGAAATCAATGTTTTTGGTTTATGGGAAACTGCTAGTCATACAATTTCCATAAATGAAAAATCTTTAATCATAGATCATGCAAATTTCTGTACTCATGGAATTGCTAGAAAAAAATATCATTAGCATTTTCCATAAATAAAAATTGTATGATTTGGTCCACACGGGTAAACATGAGAGTGCAGGCAAAATCGAGTTTTTATCTGATGTTAAACATATTGTACATACTATAAATAACTTCCAATTGAGCTTTCTAAACGCAAATCAAGTTTTTGAAAACTACGGTATACAATTTTGTTCTAAGAATGTATTAAAACATTTTAGCTCATTAATTTGAATTTTATTTGAAATAACAATTTTGATCAGTTCTAAGATTTTTGTTAACAAAGAATTGTTTCCCTCCAGTCAGTTTTATAAAAAAAAGTTAAAACTCTTATTTAGATCACGGTTTGAAGTTTGTGATATGTTTTTAGATCTTCAAAGTCGCCTCACTGTTAATCTCGCGATAAAAATATTCTGGATTGGCTTTCATAGTTGCGCATAAAAACTAAAAAATCAATTTCGGTTTCAATAGTTTAAAGAATAGTCGCGGTATAGGCTTACAATTAGTCGTTTTATAGTCTTAAAATTGGTCTCATAGCACAGTAAGAAATGGGACCAATTTTAAGAAAGCCTGGACATAAATCCGCCACACTCAGGGTCAGTGGAGTGCGCGGTTTTCGAAAAATTTTGAAAGTTTTGCCAATTTTTTTTAGGTTGAACAATTTCATTTTCCGAGCTCTCCGAAAACACTATACGGACACTATTTTGTCAAAAAGTTTTCTGCGTCGCAGGCAAACGTTTTAAAAAAAGGAATAAAAAGCATTTAGAAGAGGCGCCTTTAGAAAATTTTTGAGGTTGATTAGCAAAAAATGGATGTCGTATAACTATACCAAAGAGGGGACCACCCCCACTTCCTCGGTACGCTACTGCTCGGGGTAGAAGTCGCGGACTTGTAAGCTAGGATCTGGGGCGAAACTGCGAGAGGTGACATTTGGATGTAGAACTAGCTTACGCTTATTTCCGTAGAATTGATACCGCAATGAGTAATCTTCATATGACAAAAAAGAACGTTAAAAAAAATGAGTTTTTTTACGAAGCAAAATTTTGTAGTACAAAGCACATGTTGCTCCTCTATTGTTTGGAAAAAAACCGCAACTTGGCAAGCATATCATGAGTTGATTAATTTGCACGTATATATTCAAAATTTATAGCACCAAACGTTACAAGTCACGAAACTCGCGCCGTTAAATTGTCTTTAATTACGCCATTCGCGACTTATTTTCATTAATAGGGCGATCGAGGGTATTTGACTTTGAGACGCGCCGGTTGCGGCCGCATCCAGCCTGTCTGCAAAGTGTGAAATTACCAAATCTCGGAATAGTCTAATCGGTTACGAAGCAGTGTTTAGACAACCGCGTATTCAGATTCCTCAGTAAGCAGACAGACACATACTAAATTAACCAATCAGAATCGAGACAAGGAAGAATTGAATAATTAATAATTATTTATTTCGTAAATTTGCTTTCTCATCTCACTTTTAATTGGTTAATATGGTATTTGTCTGCTTACAGACAAATAAGAATACGCGGTTGTCAGAATACAGACCGCACTTCAGTCTTACTATTCAACTAAAAACGCTGCCCGATTTTTAGAACCGTCTAATTTGCTTGTTGTTGTTCCGAACTTCATAACGAAAGTAACGGAATATTTGTGCTCGGGTGGGTTTTTTTTTCAGTCAAATTTTGACTTTTTAAATACCCATTTTGACGGGATTTTTATATCATTAAAAAAGTATTGCTGTTTTGAGCTTAAATTTGAAACGATATTTTACCTGCGATCATTTTTCGTAAAGTTATGGGGGCTTAAAGATTGCCATTTTGGCCAATTTGGGACAATTAATGCGCGATATATTTCGTGCTATTAACGCGTAAGTGGAGATTTAATCCGTCTTAGAAGGAGCGAAATCTATCTTTTTGTACTCTATGTGGGCGTGCGGGGGGTGATTTTTACAAAAAATCTCAAATTAAATAAAAAATATTTTACTTTCAATTTTTTCATGTTATTACTGCTCCATAGACCTTAAAAGGCAGTCGGAACATTCAGGGCTTTGCCCTGATACGAGCAGCCTTGTTTAATTTCTCGGCGCGATCCTTCAATGTCATAGTATGATAGCCTTGGTACTTGTTAACATCGTGAAACGATATCCTTGTCACACAAAAAAAAAACGTGTCAATATTTTGCTCCCTTGAGCTTGAAAAGATGACCAAGTGTCAATTCCCATGGAAATCATGGCAAAGTTAAGTTGAATTTTTCAATAATTTGTGAACTTATGCATTTCATTCCAAGTAAATTTTTTTTCCGAAGATAATCTTGCAAATTTGATCCAAAATTTGCCAACATAATTAAAAGCTTCCAAGTAACATGTCTGTTTTGCCAATATCTTGCATGATATTGCATGCTTTTTATGTTAATTTGTTAAGGCCTGGTCAAGACATTTGGATATATGCTTTTTTAAAGAGAAGTTACCTCTAATAGTTTCCCTGATATCTGGGTTCCGAGTAACGTCCGGAAAATCGAAGTTCCAGTTCAAGTCAGGAGGTTGGTCTGTCTTCTCGAAGGGCATTTGGAACCCACAAACGTGCAGCGGTGAAAAACAGCACAATATTAACAGTCTATAAATCAAGTTAAAATAGCTGTTAGGAAACATTGCGATAAAATGGAGTTCGCTATCGTATCGTTATCGGAAAAGATGAATGGTAATTTTACACAAGATGAATGATAAACCTTGATCTAGAATGGAAACATAAAGATAAATTGTCATGTATATGGCTCTCCATAGTGTTATACTTTTTGAGCCATAACTTCTGAGCCACTATAGTGCAATATGTTATCTAAAAAATATGCAAATGGATCATTGACGGCGAACAATTTTGCAAAAAGTTCAACTCTAACAGAGAGCTTTGAGGAGCATGGTGAGAATATAAATGCAAAATTATACGATTTCTGGGCGCAGTTTTAGACGCGATTTATGCAGATTTGGCTGGCAACATTCATAAGTAACAGTAACGGTATAGCATTATGTCTACTAAGGGTAATAATAATATGTCTCCAAAGTTGGTATAAACCATTTCAAACCCGGCGGGATTTTGTTTTCAGTTCTTTTTGTTTTTATTTTTCAGTTATTATAAGTGCAATTTATCGGCCAATCTGAGATTGGACTTAGGAAAGGGTGTAAATTATTAAGTTCTCGGAGACTGATAGCAACACCATGGTAAGCATATACGAGTTCACTTATATATGACGGTAAATAATGTGTCCGGATTTATTATTCATTTCAAGGGAATTTTAAATTTTTATTTTTATGTTAAAATTGTGCACATATTGCGCCTGATAGTAATATAGCAATACACATATTTTAACGGAAATTAAGACATCGAAATAGGAAAAAAAAATTTAATGAATGAATAGTGCGTTCAGCTCTAGTGAATAAAAACGACAGCTACGTGTTTTTACTAATATTGTCAACAAAAAAAACAAACAACGACAAGTTAATAAGTGGTAGGTGAATTTTATATAGTTGTAGTTATTAGGCACCAATGGCTAAGAAGAATCAGTTTTTTTTGGAGGCCGGTTGAAAAAAGTCGATAACTCTGCTGATTCTATTTATTTTGCCGCGTTTGATCAAAATAAACAGAATAAATTCTTATCAAAAGCAAAGGAAGTTGACCAAATCAATCATTTTCTTCATGTCTAAACAAAAAGGATCCGTTTTTTTTTCTTGAAAAAATAAATTGAAAAAGTTTATTCAATTTAGTCAACACTGGAAAAAAATTGCGGATTCTTTAGATTTTGCTCCGCAAGGAGAAGGGTATCAGATGAAAATAAGTATAATACATATTTTTGCTCCGCCGCAAGGAAATTGACCCAGACATACGTAATGTGTTTCTGCCAGAAAAATTCTCAGGTGTTTGTTTTAAACCTCCTAGGGCTCTTGCTAATACACACTAAGTAATGCCCTGAAAATATGGCATCATTATTTTTCACCAGACAACTGAACAAAAAGTAATACGTAGACTGAAAAATGGGCTATACCAACGATGGGAGAGTTGTTTTTTGTTCCGACTTTCGAATCGAAAATAACGGAATATATGTGCTCGGGTGGATTGTTTTTCTTCAGACTAATTTCGACTTTTTAACTAACCAATTTTGACGGAATTTTTTAATATCATTTGAAAACTTTTGTTGTCCTGAGCTTAAATTTGAAAAGATATTTCACCTGTGATTAGTTTTTGTATGGCGGTTTAAAGATTGCCATTTTGGCCAATTTGGAACAATTAACGCGCGATATATTTCCAGCTTAGAGATATAATCCTGCTAAGAAATCGTTCCAAATTGGTTGAAAGAAGCTTATTTGCCAGAATTGATTTGTTACAAGGAGCGAAATCCTTTTGTTCTTTAAATGGCGTGTGGGGGGATGATTTTCACAAAACTTTAAAAGGCAGTCGAAACATTCAGGGCTTCGCCCTGACACGAGCAGTCTTGTTCAATTTTATAAGTCTTCCCATGATATCATCAATGACAGAAGAGAATTAAAAAGAATAAGATCTTCCAAGGAAATTTATGACAAATTAATGACTTTTATTTATCCCTCTTATGACAAAATGAAGTTCAAGTAACCCAATTTATAATCAAGCTTTCTCATTCAGACTGACTGAATCCAGTTCTGAAATTGGGACTAAATTTAAACCTTTGAATTAAAAAATTAACGACCTTAAAAAACTTATCATCTTTGATAATTTTTTTTGTGCCGCTTGCAAATTTTTGAAGAAACAGATAAAAAGGCTGTTTTGGGCTTTTTTGGTCAGTTTTGGAGGGGGAGGAGAAGGAGGTGCAGAACCTCCCTAAATCTGCCTCTGCTGCGGCGTCCAGTTTTTAACGGCGTGCAGGGAAACTAGTTAATTTGTAATTAGAAAGACTCTTTATTCAAAAGTAAAATTTAATTCGAAAAAGCAGTTAGGCGCGCGCAAGAGTTTTTTGCTGGCCGTCAGAGTTTGTTTTTTGGGAAGCTGCTGCTGATATAAATTTATAGCGGTGCGCAGAAGAAATATTTTGCTGGTCGTCAGAGGCTGTTTTTTCCGCCCCCTCCCTCATATCCGCTACTGATAATCGGTCGGTACAATTGCTAATCTCCTTTTAAAAGTTTGGAGTTGTTCCCCCGACCAAACCACTGCTAATAGCTCTAGTTCGTTGGTTGTGTACCTTTATGCACTACTTAAAAAGTTTCATCAACATGAATTTTGAGTTTGGACTACATCATGCCTTGCAATCTTGTTCAAACGCGGCCCCAATGATTAAGGTTAACGCATCACAATTACGTGAGTTTCTAAACTTCAACCGAAGTACATGTTTTCTGAAACAAAGGACATTTTTGTAATGTTCGTTGAACGTGAAGCAACTTTACCCAGCCCAGAAAAATAACCAAAAAAATTGCATGTAGTTCTTAAACAGGGGCACAACATCGGCTCGCCGTGACGAGCTGTACAGCTCTTGTGTTGGTCCTTTCCCCCGCGGATAAATGGTCCTAATCTTAATTTTTATCAAAAAACTTTAAATAGTGATCCGTATTTGATGATAAGTTTTAAATAGTTAACAGTACTGCATGTTTGACCAAATTAAAATTGTAATTAGTGATGTTTTGATACCATAAAAGTTTTGAACTGACTAGTGTTTCAGATGAATTTAGTAAGTCTACCACTGTGCACTGTGTTCACTTGAAAACCTAACCACTCTTTCTTCTAAAGCGCGATGTTAGTTTGAGAAGTTAGACATCTAAATTGTTGAATCTCTGTTCCAGTTGTTTTGATAGTCAACTTTTGTGCTTTTTCATCAATGAGTAGGTCATACAGAAAAGCACATTTTTTTACGGTTCGCTAGTCACGGTTTTTTGAAATTCGGCCGGCGGTTCCGTTGAACCGTAAAACCCTGTTTATAATTGGCGTGTTCCTGTTGCTCTGGCTACTACGTGAGAATACAACACGGCCTGCTTTTTGAGTTTATGTCCGGGGTGGCCTTCCCATAGAGTAATTTTGGATATGATACACCGTCTGTTCGTCACGCTATCTAAATTATAATACCGATCCTAATCTTACCCTTATATTTCCTAGTCTCAACAGATCAAGTATACACTGGTATTTTTGCGAGGTTAGAGGAAAGGAAGATCAACTGCTTTCTAAGTAATATTATTTCTTCTCTGGATAAAAAAAAAGTTTCAGCTTTACAAATTATCATAAGTTTTAGAAATGGATCATGACTGAATAGTTTCAATTATTTTACAGTGATTATTAACAAGAATATAGTTGGATATCAAATATTTGTTTTAAACTGATTCTACTGGGGAAGTTTTTTCAAAGCAAATTAATTTGCGTGAAGGAAGGATGGAGTTTATTCGGAATTTCATGGGAATATTCCTTGAAAAGAGTAACAGTTGCTCGTGTCAGTGAATTACTTGTTGTTGAGAAAGATAGAGATTGAAGAGAACTGCATAGAGTCACTAGATCGTTTTAAAATTGCAGATTCGTAATAATGATGTGCCAGTTTCATAAGGTAGAGCGCGACTACGTGCATTCTCGGCTATTGGTTGGTATTGATCAAATAACGAGATAGGGTTTGAATTCTCTGAGTGAAACGCCAAGTGACTAGGATCCGTATTTTGAGTTCGATATCGAGTTGACAATTGTTATTGTTCAATGGATAGCTTTGCTGCGATACTGGCTCCATACTCTATTTGCTGTGAGTGTTGTGACTGCGGCAAGCAAAACCTGTGGGTTTGCCATTCCAGAGTTGTAATGTCGACGAGTTTCATCTCCATATTGCTGCTCGTTTCTTTTGCTCGAGGAAATCTTTTACGTTTTATACATCTGCACCTTTTAGTTTTAGTTATGATCTTCGTTAGTTATTTTCTCGGTTTAATTAGCTCGGTTTTAATGTCTTCTTCCAACCGGGTTAAGGGAAAAATTGAAGCGTGTGAAAGCAAGTTAAAGTTGTTATCAGCCAAGTTGCAGAATTAGAAGTTCTTTTATTCACACACTGTTAGAAAACTAAGCAAGAGTGTGGAAAAGTGGGCGTGAAATATGGGCGAGTGCAAAATGGAGAGTTGACAAAAAGAAGCACTTGATAAAAAGGTTAGTTTTTATCTTAATTTATGACCCATTGTAAATTTGATTTTTTTTTGCATAGGACTTTTAATGCCTAATTTTATTAATCTACAGCTACGTAAAAGTTTTGGCGAATAATTTTTGGTTGAAATTTACGAAGTTTTCAAATTTATTTAATTTTTTTGTTATTTTTAAGAACTTTTTGGTGAGCTCCATAAGAAAACTGACAAAACAAACATTTAAAAAAATGTGAGTGCAATAATGATTTTTGTGGCTGACTGGGTCATAGTTATGGAGGATGCTGTAAAAGAAATTGATCTAATACAACAAGTAAAATCAAGGAAGTAGGGTCAGGTGAACTTCGAATAACCGAAGAAATATTTTTACTGGGAATTCCGTGAGGGACAGTTTTGTAAAAACTGTCTCTGAATAAAGCGGAAGCAAGAGTGAGCTTTAGTTAATTTCGTTTTTAGCATTACTTGATGCGAGCAAATAACGTCGCACTCCTTGGGGACGATGAAGTTGGAGGTGAGTTGAAAAAGATCAAATTTAGTGAAATACGATTCATATGCTGTAGTGTTTTGTAGCGAGTGATCTTACGGGGTCAAAATTTCTTAGATCTGTCTAAGTCAAATCTAAAATTTATTTTTATGAATTTTTATCTTTGTTTTCTGAGTTAACTGCTGGATCCGTGTCATAAGGTGAGCTTTTTTGTTACAAGACGATCAGAAGTCTTTTTGTGGAAGCCTATCTTTAGGCTGGGAGATGTTGTAATATCAGAGTCCAATGTATAGTATTAGTGAAGTCGTCACTCTGTAGTGCATTTGTTAGTTGATATACTATGACCGTGTTAGGGGTTTTTAAAGATTTTTGGATTTATAAAATGAGAACCACGAGAGGGTAGGGAGGAGGAAGTGTTCATAAACCTAGGGTATTATGTGTGTCACAACTTTTTGAATAGAATCGCCAGAGTGCATGCGAGATGAGTTGAGTGAACATTTGGAAAAATTGGGAGCGAATACTGGTAGGGAAAAGAAGAGAGATCAGAAATGGACACGACAGAGTGTTGTCGTTGAAGAATGGAAAAGTAAGAGCGATGAAGCGATAGAGAGATCCAAATTGGTGGCTGATCGTGGGTTAAAAACCTTGTTTTAAGAACGAAAGTTAACCGAGTGAGGTTGTTTAAAATGTTATTAGTTTTCTTCATCAGTTTTTTGAGGCTGATATGCAAAACTTGCAATGGAACTGCGTT